AAATCGGAGTTGTCTAGTTTATTTCCGTAGGATAAACAGTCATTAATCTAAATAACCTGCCATTTCATTGTTGCAAAGCTTTTTATTGTCTATATCTTTTATTGTGATAAAGACTTATACGCCCTGGTGCAGCGACTTAAGAAATGTTAGCAGGAACCGTGTAGCCCAGGATACGGGGATATATACCTGTTACACTAATTATCTGAGGCACTTCTTGTCCCTCGTGCCATACAGTCTCTCGCACCAACTCACACCTACTGGGAGCCTCACTGTTGGGGCCCCCAACTTGGGATAGTCGTGGGTGGCGCCTGTGGGTGATAGTGCTGGTGAGTGTTGGTGGTGATGGATGGTTGTGGTAGATTGTAATGACGATTCTGGTGATAGGGATGCTGGTGATTGCTGTGGTGTTATTGACGGTCTTAGGGTAAATTCCCGCCTCACTATAACTTGATCTAATAGCGTATGAACTTAAGAGATTTGCATAAATTGATGAGATTTTGTACACTTATCATTTACGACAATTTTAGGTGTGTTTGTGTGTGTGATAGAAAATGGTCAAACATAATGGGTTAGAGGAAAATATAGCCGTTATTTGGAAGGTTGGAATCACTAGAAAACAAGACAATTAAGCGCAATAGGACAAATTTATGTAGTAGTTCACTTTAGTTGGTGATCTCTTATGCTGCCACTGGTCGTTTTGTTTCAATCACCAATCAAAATCTGTTACACACAACAACATTACTCATAACATTTTTCATTGTAAAAAAACGTAGTTAGTCAATTTGTATAAAAGTTATTTCCTGTGTAAAGAACAAAACTCATCCCTGGCAATTTAACAAACAAAAAAAATATAAGGAAATACACATATCAGACGCAGCTCCAGGTTTGTGACGTAGCGGTAGGGGAAGTAGTCCTTTAGCCTGTGTGGGCGGTGCCTGGTGAAGGTCATTCTCTCTTGGTGGGGCCAGTGGCGACCTGTCTTTATTGATATACGTAAAATAGTTACTATGGTAAACAGTGGCGTGTCGTGAAAAAAATATGCTAGGGTAAGCAAATGACACTGTTAATGACATTACAGTACTATCAAGTAGTCTACGAAACTGTGAAACAACAAAAAGGTTAGATAAGTAATAGTCATTTTTCGTTTGTCTTTATCCTTCATTTATGACACCAATGGGAAATATGGATAAGGTTTTTGTCAGAGAATCTGCAACCATATGTACATTATAACTTAATCGAGGTTTATTTCTAATGAAATAAATTATTTTGCATGGATTATGGTAATGGTAAAATTAAATATCTAAATTATTCGAAACAAATCGATTTTTTAAATCTTGCTTATGAAATTACAGTTATAAATTTATGATTAATTTGCTAATGCTGCGGTGCTGAAAGGGAGGGGGGACAACAGTAGTACGGTGTGCTTTCCTTGCCCAAATCTGCAACAAATATTATTATTATTGAGGGGAAATTCCAGCAACAGAATGTTTTTCACAGCATATTAGACTGGTCTTAATCCTATTGACATAGATTTGGAAAGAAGTGGGTTTATATAGTTTAAATAAATAGTTTCATCTCATGTCTGGCAGTGTCATATTTTTTTAACTGATTATTTATAAAACTGTGATGCATAATTATAATCAAAGTTCAGACTGGTGGAGGAGGTGTGTTGTTCTTAATACGCATCTACCACCATCTCTTCTTCCACCACTACACAACCACCATCTCTTCCACTACTACCACACAACCACCATCTCTTCCACTACCACCCACTACCACCAGACCACCAACACACCACCAACACGTCGCCCTAACTCTCACAACCATTAAGTATTTGAGATCCATTCATACCCATTAAAGGTAACTATTCCAATTTAAACTGAACTATACTTAACTCAGTCAAGATAGGTTAGGTGTCTTAGGTTTGCCCACTATTGAAATACTTGGCCGGTGGCATATTTGAGTGTGTCCTCCGTTGAGTGGCTAGATACCTGACTTCGACCTGGGCTACTGCGAACTAACACGGCCACCAAGAACAATCCTTTCTGATACATTTACCAGAATTGTGATGTTTTTATTCTGATCTGGCGAGGATTATTTTCTTTAGGTTCTTGTGTGTCTTCGGGAAAACATCGTAAAGTAAAAGCAGTGAGTTGTATTGATATGCGTGAGGTAACTCCGCTGGGTAATTTAAACTAAAAAAAATGTATGTGACTTAATCAATAATCTGAGATAATTGTACGCGTAATTTCTCAGCGTAGGTGTGTGCTGAGCCATGAGGCCAGAGTCACGTGTATGAGGCGGGACGCGGTGCCGGCCGGCTTGGCACCTGAGTGGCAGCCGCGTGGGTATTCTTGGCACTGACCCACTCTCTCTTTCTCTCTCACTCTTCTCCCTTCCTGCACTTCTACCACAGCCATGCTTTATCCTCCACAAATTCCCTGGATTCCCTCACCAAGAAATTCTAACACCATTTATTAATATTTTGTAATCCCACTTGAGTTTGGGTAGGCGTGGGAATTTTGTTGGCGGCTTGTGGTGGTGTAGGATGACGTCAAACGTGTGGCTCACCTCAGAGGATGACGATATAAGGTGATGTGTGTGTGGGGGGGGGGACAGGTTTACCCTCACCCTAACTTTTGCGTGTCCTCAGGTAACTTCCCACGCTGCTGTCATTCTAGTAACATATATTTCATATAAGAGTTATTTAAAAAAAATTGAATTTCTCAATAGATTATTGATCTATCGTGTCTACGAGTAATGACAACCTGATCATCCCCGGGAGATAGTTATTATTAGCAACACTGGAAGGCGGAAGTTCTTGCAATTGGTTCGGTCTGTCTATTTCTCAAATATATACGTATATACTTAGGTGTTTTATTACTTCATGGTATTTTATTATTATGGTCATCTGTCGTCAGTAAAAGTTTACACACGGTTGAGTGACATCCTTGGGTAGAATTTGGGTTCCATCTCGGTCAACGTAAAGGTCACAGCTGACTGTCAAATGTTATCATTAAGTCAAATTGAAATAGTTCAAGTTATTACACTAATGCCGCAAAGACCTGCTGACTTCTCTCTGGTATTATTATGGAATAAGCCAATTGTTCGTCCCAATTGCGCGAATAATGCGTCTCGGATGTCTGAAAATAGGCATGGCTGTTGACCCGCTGTACAAATCCAAAAGAATATTAAAGTTTTGAACAACTTAATGTTAAACGGATGCATTAAATTAGCTTTTCCTCTGAATTTAAATATTTTGGGGAGAATTTTGCTAATATAATATTCACCTCTCCTTACTATGCATAATGGTCCATACGTAACCTGACCTTAACTTATACTTTGCCTCTTGTCACACCTCATTACACACATACTTAGGAACAATTACTTTCCTTAATATTTTATAGTTTTGCCTTGTGTATGAACCTACCCAGAGTACGTTCTTAAAGGAATTAGTTTTTGAAGAACTGACAACCTCGAAAAAACAACAACACATTCTTGTAGCCAATCTCGTTACTTCTGCTGTCATGTTCATACCATTAAACTAATCCATGTCTTACCTCAACAGCTGCTTCACCCACGCACTCTTTCCCAACTCTTTATCCGCTTCACGGGAATTCCATTTACGTTGTTTACACTCAACAAGCCTTCCTGCTGTTACACACACACACACTCCCACCTCGCGCAGTCCGCCACTACAACAAAATTCAGCCCATAAGAGCCCGCACCGATAGATATAAGAACAGCACCATCCCATATATTGTTAAAATAATAAACAACTCCTGATTTATGTACTGTACAGCCCTGTAAATGTATTCAATGCATATTATATCATTATGTCTAAATCAAATGTAAGTCTGTATATTTTCAGCCACCGGCTGCAACTCCATTAATAAACCGTTTATTATTATTATTAGTATTAGTATTATTATAATTATTATTATTATTATAATTATTATTATACACACATGCTGATAATCATTGGGTAAAAATCATGTGGGATATGATTAGTTATTTTATATTTATATTTTTGTCTAAGCTTTATGTGACCTAAAATGTTGTAATCACTTTTGACATTTATAGCATCGTCAAAATTGTAATTGAAATAAAAGACTGGCTATAAGTGCCTTCTCTATTATGTATTACAAATACTGAATGTTACTTTAATTAAAATAGGATGATTTGCCTTTTCTGAGTTTCGGTAGGTATAAGTGTAAAGGACCTCCTGGGAGTACTGTATGTAGTACTGTACATATACATATTAACCTCAGTACCTAAATTCATATAAACAATAATTATCATAAAATTTTGCGAATTATCTCGCTTTTAAGTTCTGGTTGGCAATATGAAGCGTAATGTGATTATAGGGAATTACAGCTCGTTAACAAATGAGTTACTACTAAAAGGTCATGAACAATTAGATATTAAAATATACAGTACACATCCCTCTGGTGTACTGCGTGTGTCGTGACTCATCATGGAATAAGTTCTTAGGAGTGTACTGTACTACTGCACTTATTTGTACTGTGTAATATACAGAATAAAGATGTTAAAGTTGTTATTCACGCAAAGTTATCATTAGTTTATTTCTCATAATGACCTTGAAGTTAATATTTTAATTCAGTGTTATGCGTTAACTTAAAACAGACGTACATACGCACAGTCGGGGTCAAAAGGTTCTCCCCCGCCCAAAATGAAATAGCATCGACCCCAAACGAGATGAAACAGTCAGGGTAAGTCAGTTCGTAGATTCATTCCCGTGATTCATTTTCACAGCGGGGAGCGAACTTTTGTCCACCACTATACAACTCCATTATAGACGTGCTGTTGGATGTTGTTTGTCACTCAAAATGTCACCAAAACCTTAGCTATAGGATGTTTTTCATCACAGCCCTGATCTCAATCTTTCATAAAGTGACTTGAAAAAATAAGTTATACCCCTAATTCGTGTCATTGCCAATGCGATGGTGAAAGTAAATTCTATTTTTTTTTTTTTACAGAAAAGCCGGCCTGAGGCAAGATGGCACAACAACTGGAGCAGCTCCTTACCTGCTGCATCTGTCTGGACAGGTTCCGCAACCCAAAGCTGCTGCCATGCCAGCACTCGGTGTGTATGGAGCCCTGCATGGAGGGCCTCGTCGACTACGTTCGTCGACAGGTGAGCACAACACGCCCTCAGTCAGCACTATGTTCACAGTATGTGGTTAGGGCGAGGCATATTCTTTGTTCTTGTGTAATATGATTTACTTAAAGTAAGCAATATAATGCGAAGGTTGTCTTCGTTTGTCAATAACGATATAGTCTCCACAGTGCCAAATACGTCCAATATTATCCATATTAGTGGTCAATCATAGTCACAAGATTCGTCCATATTAGCTCCGGACCTCTGGACCTCGAAGATTTCCTTTTCATGTTTATACTATCCCTTTCTTCCACCATAAATCAGACCATCTAAAGCATCAAGCAAGAGTAATCCTTCGTTGTTTATGAAACAGCGATGCCCATATATACTATAGTATTAGAAAAGTTGGTACCTAGCATAATGGAACATATTTATCTTCGTCATGCAGGTCAAATGCCCAGAGTGTCGCGCGGAGCACCGGATCCCCTACAATGGGGTCCAGGGGTTTCCCTCCAACGTAACACTGCAGAGGTTCCTCGAGGCTCACATAGAGATCACTGGAGAAACGCCAGACCCACACACAGGTCAGAACACCACCATTACCCATTAGTACTTCACTTGGGTCTCCGTTCATTTCTACTCGTAAACATAACAAATCTAACTTCATAATTATTAAATATATAAGTAATAATTCCACAAGACAAGAAAGGAGTATATTATCAGTGGTGGATAGTTACGGTATAAATTTGGATTTCATGTACACAAGTACTCAAACAAGTTCACACGCTTTTCCTTTATCAGTGATCGATAAAAAAATAGATATTTTTCTCTCTATCTGTACTGACACAACACGTCCAATTTCAGGACAATATATGGAAAGATGTAACGTGTGTAACGAAAAGAACTACTTATCTGTATGTTCTCATTGTGAAAAGAAGATTTGTGAGGATTGTAAGGCAGCGCACTTAGACATTCTCAAACGTGAGATCGGCCGCATCAACAATCAGGTGAGACTCAGTGTGAAAGTCGCCAGGTGGACGCTTGTCTGTCTTAGGCAGTAAAAGAGCAATACAGTACTACTCTTCTCTTTGGTTCTCACATATAAAACAACTGTCATCCCATAACTTGTTGGCCATAAAATTTAAATAATATTGAATAGATTTCACAAAGTAAAATTCCATATTCCATTATGATTACCAGGTATCTGTAGTCTGTAAATATCCTAAAAAATAATGAGGCAGTATTCAACAAACACTAACCTTGTGAATACATTTAATTTTAAGCTGAATTAAAGGAGATATTTGTTGGTGCAGGTTAAGCGTGCATCCCACCGCCTCAACGACCAACTGTCCACTGTGGAGCGCAACATCACCTCCCTCAAGCAGAACACCACCAGCGTGAGCGATGAAATTGAAAACATCTCCAAACGTCTGCAGAAGTCCGTTCGAGACCGCTGTTCTTTTCTGAAGGCAGAGGTACGATTTTTTTTAATTAACTTCGTCACGTATCATAATAGTATTTTATAGAATATAATATCTAAGGTATTGAGTTGTAGTAATTTGCATTTTTAGTTAGTGTATAACTTGTCTACGGACAGTTAATTTAAGTTACGAATTAGCGAGATCACTGATTATCGTGTCCCATTCCCGAATTGCAATTATACGTTCAGCTTTAAGTATTATAGTGTGTCGCCCCAACACCTTATGGTTCGTCTGGTACGCCGAAAATATTCCCTAACATGTTTGGAAACCCATCAGCTTAGTTAATAAGCAGTTATCAGTATCAGAATCATCATGGTAGAAAAGACTGTTAACATCAGTTTCCTGTTGATGGCAACATCAAAGCTAAGAGTAGAATATATTCTTCAACACGACATTCCAGAATTTTGAAAAAGACCGATATGTGTGTGTGTGCCTCTCTAGTCACCTCAGAGCTCAACCAACGAAGGTGACATCTTTAATAACTCATATTATTTTATCATAGCTGGATGATCGTCATACTCGATTCCGAGTGACAGCAAAGTAGTTATAGTAGTAGAAGTAGTAGTAGTGTCTAGTATGCAGTGTACACACATTAAAAGACGCTCCCTTAATCCAGGTGGAGAACTACTACGGCAACGAGTTCAGAAACTTGACGATGCTCAAGGAGAGTCTGGATCAGGAGGTCTCCAACATCGGGGCCAACATTGAGCTGGCAGAAAAACACATGGATGACCAGACGCCCTGGGACGACGCTGAGCTCATGGACGCTAAGGACATTTTCCTTAAAACCATGGAATTCATTCGAAGTTTTGATTACGAAGCGGGTGACTACAGCAGAAGGGCCAGATTTAATCCTCCTGACGACCTGAATAAGGTTAGTAATGCCAAAGAGGCGTCTGGGAAGAGATAGAACTTGTATAGAAAGTAGCACACCTTGAACGACTGAAAAAACTCTACATTTCAAACATTGATAGTATTAATGAAGGTCTTAGTGTTTTATGTATTACGTGCGCCTGTGGTTCAGGTAATTTACAATATATATATATATATATATATATATATATATATATATATATATATATATATATATATATATATATATATATATATATATATATATATATATATATATATATATATATATATTTATATTTATATATATATATATATATTGATAAAATCACAGGAAAAGGGAAATAATGAGTCCTTAGCTGTCTTTATTCAAGACATCTTCAGAGGCAACTGAGGTGTGAATACGCTAAGGTTTTTTCCTGTGTGGTTTTAATTTATATATATATATATATATATATATATATATATATATATATATATATATATATATATATATATATATATATATATATATATATATATATATATATATATATATATATATATATATATATATATATATATATATATATATATATATATATATATTATATATATATATATATATATATATATATATATATATATATATATATATATATATATATATATATATATATGTGTGCTTGCTTCATCAGCTTATATCAAAACGACCTACGACTCTTTATCACTTTCAGTATATGTGTACAAAGTTAAATCAACCCATAGTGGAATGTTTCTAATATCTCTACGAAATGTTTTTGTACTCACAACTGACATCTTCTGGGTGAGACAAACTCCCTGAAACGATGTGCGTTTGTTTTCTGAGGTTGTACACAGTCACGAACAAAAATACCTTTACATGCATGAGGCTCCAAAATACTGAAATGAGTTAAGAACATAAGAACATAAGAAAATAAGGAGTCTGCAATAGGCCGGTTGGCCTGTGCATGGCAGCTCCTGTCAAGAGTTACTACCACTCTCTATCATCCATGAATCTATCTAGCCCATTTTAAAGCTGTCCAGCGTTCCAGCACTTACTACAAAGTTACTAAGCTTGTTCCACTACTTGTCTACACGAAGACGGCGCTATAGGATTAAATTTTACTTGGGCACAGTTTTGAAGGGGTGGAGGCCGAGTGGATACGGAGCTCGGCTTCTATCCTAAGGGTCACTAGTTATGTACAAGGCACTCGTAATCCACCCAACTTTTGAATGAGAACCTCACTTATGGTTGGAACAGTGAAGGGAGTCGAGTGCATTGCTTCCATTTGAACTGAGACTTAGCATTCAGTGTTCTGTATCCGTAATGCCTTTAATGGGCAGCCAGGCCTATGGGACCCTCTTTCACTTTCCACAATTTCGAACAGGAGTGCAAAGGAACTTTTGTTCGTTACAAATAAGAATGTCTTTTCTTTCAATATGATTTATATATTTTGTTTCTACTTTTCTAAGCATTTCTTTTTGTTTTTATTAATCCCTTTATTCATAAGTTATTGATCAATGTTTCTCATAATAATGTAAAATATTCTGTGAGCAGCTGACGACATCCCTGAGTACCCTGGGCGACCTGACCTTCAGTACACCTAACAAGATGAGCGACGGCTACTCATCCGGCCCATCCATGGGCTCTGGGCTAATGAAGAGCAAGAGCGACCACAGGCTGGCGGCTCAGTTTAGGGACCAGGAAGACGGCTACGGTTACACCTCAGGCAGGACCTCACCACTCATGCGCAGACGCTTCGGGGAGAGGAACACCGAGAGGTATAGTCGGTCTCACGTTCTCACAACACCCTCAACTAACCTATCAAAGAACCCTTGGCTCCGCCCCCAAAGGTTTTGTCATCACTTTACAACGCTATAACTGGCTGAGCGATCAATATATAATGGGCGGGGCCAAGGGGCAAACCTTTCTTGGCAATCCACAGCGTTGAAAATTCCGGATTGACTTTACCTTTGGTGGCGAGACCTAGAGAATGTGAGACGGACTATAGCTATGTAAATAATGACACATTTTATATAGTGACTGAAATTTGGTCTTTTAAAGTAGAACGTCTAAAAAAAATTTGAGATGTAGCATTTTATGCTGTTTAGTGTCTGTCTGTAGCCTGTGATGAAGTGTAGCTTCCGTTCCCCGGCCATAACCTTAAGGACCAACAAACACAAGACTTACTCTAACAGCCAGCTGGACAACATCGGTCTTACTAACACATTAACATATGATAAATAACACATTAATGCCTCATTCCTGCACTTGGATCTATCCTCTCAGGCCCTCACCATCAGACCCCACCTCCTCTGTCCTCCTCAGCTCATTTATATCAGTTCATTAAAACCAAATCTAAAGTACATGTATTAAGTTCTAAGGTAAAGCAAATGCTAATTATCACTGCTAATGCTGCAATAACTCAATCCTTCTTATTGTACCTAGAGAGAAGCTTGTCAGCATTCACTTGTAGTACACGAAAACGTCAGCTTTTCAGTTAATATACGATGTTATGCTTATTAATCATGTGGAGCGTCCAGATAGAGTGACTTAACAGAATAACTTTGTAATAGTATAACCGTCACTGTCATGTTGTTGACATTCTTTTAATTCCTGCGCGTCCTTCCCACTTGTTGGACCATTTTAATTTCTTTCCCTCTAGTCGTGGCCTTCCACCCCTGCCAAGCTCACCTGTTGTCCTCACAGGCACGACGAAGATTCCTCGGCTGACTCTGGGAGGCGGCGGTTCCGGTCACGGTTCATGCGCAAAGAAGAAGACGAGGAGCGTTCGGTTCGCTTCGCCGAAGAGGACGGACCAAAACGTCAACGAGTATTCGACACAGAGGACGTCTCGCGCGGCCCGCTGTCCGGGATCGTCAGACTCTACGACTCACCCCGCGTCATGAAACGATTCCAGGAGCGTGATCAAAATAAGACTAAAAAGAAGGAAGAGCCACCCAAGCCTGCACAACCCACATTACCCAAGCCTCCCGCGACCCCCATCCAGCGCAAGACTTCGCGTCAAACTAGCAATGAAGACGAGATAGATAAGATCAAGAAACAAAACAAAAATACAGATTCAACGTCAGGAGCGACTGCCACAACACCAACAGCAAACACTTCCACACCCTCCACACCTACCACCCCCAAACCCGCAGGTGAAAGAGTCTCCTCCATCAGAGACGATGAACGGCAAAGCCGCAGTGATCGAACATCCACATCTCCCAGATCCTCAGCTAATCACTCCCCAGCATCTTCCATCACTCGGGAAGATGATTCCAGTCGGCGGAATGAATACAGTCGCTCCAGAGCAGAAAGTAACGCTTCTGGCGCCAACGGTACAACGAGCCGCCCTACTCCTGCCCGCAAAACTAGTGTGGACACTGGAGTGACTAGTGTGGCGCAGCGCGCTTACCCCTTCAGCCGCTCTTCATCTAATTCATCTGTAGGGGATAAGGATAAGAACACGAGTGGCACTCGTAGCCCCCGGACCCTTGATACCGCAGGCTACGAGCGCCGCTTGTCTCGATCCAACAGCACTGACAGCAATAAATCTGGCGATGGGTCATCGTCCCCAAAGAAAGCAACGGGTGCGGCTTTCTCCACAGAAGAGCTCAAGAACCGTTTCGTGAGGACAGACTCAAAGCCATCCACTTCTAAAGTAGAAAGTTCGTCTAGATCGTCTGGTCCAAGTAACTCTCGTTTTCAGTCACGTTTTTTAGGCCGAGCCGGTACTCCTTCAGTAGAGACCTCGAAGGAATCAGGGAATGAAGATGAAGATGATGAAACCACCGAAGATTCCGAGTCCGAAGAGAGTGAAGAATCGTCTGAGGAAGAGGAGGAGGAGGAGGAGGAGAAGGAGCCAACGTCAGAATACTCTCGTGCGGACATTGGGCCCTTACTGGGGAAGAGTGCCCAGGCTCGCGATGTAGCCGGTAGTACTAGTTCTAGGAGCACTTGGGGTGACAGAAGTTCATACCCATCTGCTAGTACCAGTGGAACTGATTCGGGTTATGCAAGTAGATATGGCAGTAACAGTGACAACAGTAATGGCAGCAGTAACAACAGCAGCAGGTACGGAGCCCCTACTTCTAACAGTAGTAGCACCGACGCAGGAGCTACCAGTCACCGGCGCCCATCATACCTGGACAGTGCAAAACCTCAGGCCAAGGAAAAGGAAGACGAATTTGAGTCCAAATATCCCTACTCAAGCAAGTACCTGAACCGCTCTCGGGCCGCCGTGCCCGAGGAGGATTCCAAACCTACTTTCCAAAGCCGATTTCTCAACCGATCCAAAAGTTCGGCTGTTTTAGGTCCCGATGATAATGATGAATCTACTCCCACCACCACCCACGGCACTGGCCGGGCCCGCTTCGAAGAACTGAAGGAACGGCGACAGAGACTTGCACGAAGCAAGAGCTCAGCAGGTCTGGAAGATGATGAAGGGACAGCCGCCGATACCAATTCAGCCGCCAATTATCGACCTCGTTATGGCCGAGTAGAACCTGAAGCCTCCGCCACGACGCGTAACACTGCTGCAGGAACATCATCAGTAGGAGCAGCAGGAAGCAGTAGTAATGCTGGAGGTGACAATAGCGGCTCATCTTCCACTCAACTCTCTAATTGGGCCCGTTACCTTAAAAACAAATATGGCAACAGAAGTGGAGCAGCAGCAGGAGGAGGAGACAGTTCCAGTAGAAGCACGGGCACCGGTCTCAGCGGTAGCACGAGCACCAGTGCTGGTAGCGGGCTGGGCAGCAATACTAGCAGCGCCAGCGGTATTATGGGTAGTGGTTCACGCCCTGGTACTAGTAGCACAGTAGGAGGAAGAGCAATCTCCCGCTCTCGGTCCTCGCATCTCCTTGGTCTAGCCAAAGAGGGAGAATCATCTGAAGACGATTCAAAAAACGTGCACGCTACCCCTACTTTCCCACCAGCAGGTACACAGGTTCCTACTCCGTTCGGAAGTTTACATAGGAGCCAGTACCTGCAGAAGCAACGCCTCTTAATTAAGATCGGGAGTAGGGGTAGTGAACCAGGAAACTTTACATGGCCAAGAGGCATAGCTGTTGGACCCGACAACAGCATTGTGGTTGCCGACTCGAGCAACCACCGCGTGCAAGTATTTGATCAACAGGGTAAGTTCATAAAAGAATTCGGCTCCTACGGGAGCGCAGAAGGTGAATTTGATTGTTTGGCTGGTGTGGCTGTCAACAGAATCGGTCAATACATCATTGCCGATCGCTACAACCACAGGATACAAGTATTTGATCCATCCGGAATGTTCCTTCGGTCATTCGGAAGTCAAGGCGGTGGCGATGGGCGGTTTTCCTATCCATGGGGTGTGACAACTGATGCCCTCGGCTTCATCTACGTCTGCGACAAGGAGAACCATCGCGTGCAAGTCTTCCAGTCTGACGGCTCCTTTGTGGGCAAGTTCGGGTCAATGGGCAACAAGCCCGGGCAACTGGAGCACCCGCACTACATAGCCGTCTCCTCCACCAACCGCGTCATCGTCTCAGACTCCAACAACCACCGCATCCAAATATTTGATATTAATGGAAAGGTTACTACAACCTTCGGTTCTGAGGGCAGCGACGAAGGACAGTTCAAGTTCCCAAGGTGAGTCAGCGTCCATCTGTAACTAATATCAATTAATTTACTATACTCTACATCCCTATGGGGAAAAATGTATTACATCTGTCTTCATTATTTCAAAATAACTTAATAACTTATGATAAGTCGTGTCACAAAACTGATCAGCGTTTGTACTTGTTGCTGCCGTCAGGGGAGTGGCTGTGGACGACCAAGGTTACATCTTCGTAGCTGATAGCGGTAACAACCGTATCCAGATCTTCCACCCCGATGGCTCCTTCCTGAGGGCCTTCGGCTGCTGGGGATCTGGAGAAGGAGAGTTCAAGGGCCTCGAGGGTGTGGCAGTGATGTCCAACGGGAACATCCTCGTCTGTGACCGCGAGAACCACCGCGTCCAGGTCTTCTGAGAAGGTATTATATGGTGGAGACGCTTGAGGGAGAACCTACACACTAACCATGAGTTCCAGTATTTTCTAGCACTTGAATGATCTATTTACTGTCGTTTTTTATTATTATTATAATTTATGGCTCGCATAGAAGCAGCCTGCCAGGGTAATGTGATCATAGGACGTCACATCAACTGGGAAAAAAATAACTTGCATGTTTATCATTAAATTATTAAATATAAGACTAATTTCTGTATTAAGGTTTTGCCATCTATACATTTCTAGCGCTATTATAACAATAATGTAAACATGAGGCCCTGGCGGGTTGTTGTTTTTATATATTTCTGAGCTTCATCTACTAAGGTCTTTAAGCACGTATTCTAAGTTAAGTCCACACACAAGACAACAACTATCAAAAATTAAGAAAGGTAATTCTTCCTTAGTGGCGGTTCCTGGCGCTTAGTGCCCAGGTGGGTGCGCCTGAAGACCCCGTATGGCCGCATACCATCGGTAGTGACATAGGCTCAGGTATGATAGTGAGGCAACCAGGATGATATTAAACGTAAACAATCAAAACACATTATCTGACTTCTCGCTTTGCATGACCAATAGATGGATTTAATGCAATTACAATTATTGTCTAATATTAGTAACCTATTAAATAAGCTTCAGATTTTATTTTACTTTACATTATCATCATCTTTGCCAGGGTGAAAAAAAAAAGTACTAATTAAACTTGAGAAACTACTGAAATTTATTAAATAAAAGATGGAGTAATTAGACCATTGGTGATAAGGCACACTCTCAGTCAACCTGGTACCTCCTAGTTCTGCCTTAGTAATCTGTTGACCCGCACTGTTCACCTCTCAACAGTTATAGGACAAAATCCTTCTTAACCTAACCTAACCAAACAAGGTATCAAGACCTGGAAAAATTTACGATGTTATATTTTGTCCAATGCATGATTCTAGCAGTGGGATTTTGTCCGAGACAATTCGCAATTGTGTGAATAAGTCTTCTGTAAGATATTGTTTACATCAGCTTTTTACGACTTGCATGTAAAATTTCGCTTAGACAGTAAAGTGAGAGTTCTTTGCCATTAAAGCGAACATACATTACCAAAGATTCAGTGACTTAAATTGCCATTTAAATGTTGTTTTTCTGAAATATTAAAACCGATCTAACTAATCCAAGTTCCCCTTGAAAATCTAATATAAGATATTTCTGCATTCTACCATACAAAATGACTGTCTGAGACCCCTTCTTGTATATGACTGCTGCAATTTATTGTACAATAGTTTACTGCACAGTGCGTACAGGGGGCCCTGCTAGGAAGCTCAGCGGACAGTGACACCGTGCACAAGATGTGTCTAAGTTGTGAGGAGCCAGTCTATAATTGGCTGACCTCACTACCTATTTCTCAAGCTTCAATTTCTAACTTGATCATTAGCTGAAGCATCACTCAGGTTTGGATTCAAATAATTAGATTTGGTAATTTACTACCAAAATATTGATTGGAATAAGTTCATTAGAATATATTTCAAAGGAAAAATTGTATAAGAATAAGATGCCTTTTGGTGATTTAGGAAGAGCTTGGTGACACTGATAACACATAACAGTAGGTAACACACAGGTTGGTAATGATTGATGCAGGGAAGGTTTCATCACTGTCAGCATTTGATATCAAAATTCGATGCATATTTACATACTAAAATAAGGTTAACAAATCAAAATGTGCCAAAATAATATTACATAGAGTACAATTTTGGAGTAAATCTTTAGTTAAATAGAAAATGGAAAAGAATTAAAATTATCGCAAAGAAGTGAACTGGGGAAAATATTAAAGAATTATTACAATGATAAAATGTATTAAGGGTTGATTAAATGGCCCTGAATATATTGACAGTGAAAAGATATTAAGTATGTTTTTCCCAACAGGTCATTAGATATTTCGAGGGGAGATGAAGGAAAACGGAGCTCCCCGCCAGCCAAGACACGTAGCACAAAGCTACCCAGTAAAAGACCACAGCAACATCAACTTATGCCTGGAATGTAGACAAGACTTTCTTTTCCCAGCCAATCAGAGGTGAAGAGGTGAATTCTGTTCTACAATGAAAACAATTATTGTCGACGATGAGAAGAATTAGTGGAGTGATGAACTTGCCTGATGGTCGTTTCCTTACATGCATATTATTCGGGTTAAGCGGATTTTCCTTGTCAATTCGCTGATAACCTCAAGGGAGATAAGATTTAGACCCAGGATATTGTTGGATGTCATATCGAGGGTGCACGACGGTAGGCAGTCTAGGGCACAGTGAACTCGCAGTCCAAGTTGGGGTATTTCATTGCATTTCATTCCAAAAATGCCTTAATATACCATAACACCCAACTTACAATGAAGACTAGTGCTGTAAAGTTCCATATATATGATTCAGACTCCACTTTGCCCTAGACCTGCAGTCTACCCTACTTGTGATTGCTGGGTTACAGATCGTCTGAATGTAACGTTGTGTACATTAGAATTTAATATAACACGTTTGTACATTGTACATAAGTGCATTTTCTATGAATATATGGAAGCATCAGCGCTAAAAGTATCAATTGTCTGCAAAAGCTCGTGATAGCTCATCATTGTTACAAAATTGAATGTGTGGGACTTTGTAAAATATTTTGTTTTGTTTTGTTGTTCCCAGTGTAGGCGTAAACAAGCCAACACCGTGTGGGGATACTCAGCCATGATGACTGGTCACATGGAGTCGTATGTGTCTTAACCTTCATCTTTTTTCACGACTGATAATTACCATTTTTTAAAGTCATTTGATATATAATGGATCCTTCCGTAACGTGAACTTAGTTCATTAACCTAATAATTTAATAGAATGCATACACAGCAGTTTGCTTTTAGTTGATTACAATGATGCAGATGCACAGTAATATAGTAACTGTACCGTGAGCAGTGTAACATGTTTCTTATTTGAGTTTCAATGAGAAAAAAGGGTCGAAGATTTGTCACTGAAACAGCTACATATTGTATATCTTTTGGAAGAAGCATTATGTAATGTATATCTCAGAATAATATACAGGTATATCAATGTTGGATACATATCGTTGTTTGTAGTTCTAATAAGCATTTTTTCTTATTTACACATTGTATAGTTAGGTCAGATTCAAATAATTATCAAACAAATGAAGATCTATATAATTTGATTTTCTCATAAGAAACCCACATATATAAATATATAAAATATATATAATTTTTGTAAGACACTCTATTATACACTGTAATACTCCAGTTTATGGCTTGTTTTCTCAACAGTATTGAAGTCCAGTTTTTGGAGATACAGTTAGCATTGAGTGATACACTTCAGTATCATCTGCCAAGTTCAGTTATTGAAACTTAGTATTAAATTAATATCGGCGTTGGCTACACAGTTTGTTGCTCAGTATTGAGTGTATTTTCACATATTGGTTTCCTAGCTGTCAGTAAGCCAAGCATTGTCTAGTTGTCATTTTCTTTTTATTTCTTGAATGAAAGATTGTCAGTGTCTCTGGTCACTTTCCTAGAAGCTGAAAATAAAAAGATAAGTTGAATTTGTGTATTTCTCTTACCCCTGCCGTATTATTATTATTATTGCATTTTCGCCCCCCAGGCCCCGATGTGGGTCAGTGACCTGTGCCCGAGTGGGCTTATCCTCTTTAAAAATAAAAAAAAATAAAAGTTGTTTCCACTCCCACCTTTAACAGTGAACTTGGTCAAACAGACATGGACCAATTACATTATTTAAGAGCAATTACAGTTTTAATTACAATTACTCTTCTAAAGTTTAAACTACATATGCAATTACAATTACTTGGTTCACAATACTCTCAAATTACCCCGGTGACTGTTGGGCATTCAGCTAACACACACACTGTGCCTGAGATAATGATGGAGAAGCATCAGAGATGTGAATAATAACTCAATCACAAACAATCTTTCATCTAGCAACGACAGACGATATTTACGTTACATTAATTCTTTCACTGGGAAAATGACAATTTCACTGTTACAACATGATCACTAATATTCACAAAATTCACTGAGTTAAACTGACTTAATATGGCGGGTGGAGAATCGTACACATACCTGAGATAATGATGAAGAAGCGTCAAGAGATGTGACGCTCCTCCTCGCGCACGAGTTCATATACGGCTAACTGGCAACTCAGGCCTGTGCGGTACACATGCCAGAAAGGCTAATCACACAATGACAGAAATTACATTCAACTCAGTCGCTGTACATTTAACTATGAAAATCAATGCCATGGGTCAGTTGAATTTCTTACGTTTATTTTTATAATCTAATCAGAGATTGAGCTTGCCAGGAAGAAGTGCAATACACACGCTGTTAGCACTACTTTTACAAACTCAGCACGGCTGCGAACAAGGAACTATTCACAGGGATACGTTAGATTTTGGAGATTATACACAATGACAGAATAGTTCAGGAGATTAATGACTTTCTTAAATAGACAACTGACACAAACTTAACTACAAACATCAGATTCTCTGATGTTTGGGCATCAAAATGATCTAATTTCAGTAGTACTCAGAAATTCATGGCTATCCCCAGGGACAATATCATGGGATGCCGTTCATACTGGCAGACTCGACACTCACTTAACAAGTGTTACTAACAATAAAGACAGTTAAATCTTTCAACATCACTCAGTGTGAAAAAAGACAGACAGACAGATGGAGACAGAGACACAGTCAGACAGACAGAGACAAATAGACAAACAGAGAAAGACTGACACACAGAGATTGAGATACAAAGACAGAAAGAGACTGAGAGACACACAGGCAAAAACACAGACAGTGACAGTCAGACAGACAGACAACAGATAGACAAACAGAGACAGACAGAGATTGAGATACAAAGACAGACAGAGACTGAGAGACACACACAGACAGAGAGACAGACAGACAGACAAACAGAGAGAGACATACAGACAAATATACACAGATGACAGAGATAGACAGACAGACCCCTTACACATCGACTCTGACATAACCCAACTAGTCAGACACAAACAAGGTCTAGACCAGTGCTTCTCAAACTATCTCATGTGGCGGACCTCTTTTTCCAATATGCCGGAGACCGGTACCATATTTGTGCCATATTATTATTTGTTTACGATCCGAGAAAATATTATTTGAACATTAGTAGTAATATTAATTTATACCAGAAAAATATAATGAATATAATAAAAGTTGACACTTTTTTATTATTTATTTACTTTGTAAACAAGTAATACACTATTACAATATAAATAAAGAATATTAAAAAATCAAACTAGCAAAGCCTTCTAACAAAGATATAATAAACATATGTATATATAAGTACTGTATTTATATGGAGATAAGTGGTGTATACTTTTGTACTGTTCAAGAGTATGGTGAGGCTGAGGTTGGGGTTTAGGTTAATTTAGGCTGTGGTTGTCTGTATTTCATTTGTTCCTTTACTTGGCCCTTGTACTGTATATACGTCCTTTAATTTTATTATCTTAATAACTTGTGCAGTGTATAATTCCTCCTCACTATGATACTTATATTTTGAGTAAATCTGAGGTTTATTATTAAGAACCTGATGGAAATAATATAAGAGTCATTATAGTACTATCCTGCTTATTGTTGTGATCATTAGTGGCAGGGGTTTATTTTTCTATGCTGTCACGATCAAGCCGCACCTCTTATTTAACTATTGGTAAAATCTTGATAAAGAGGAGAGATGACATAACACCTGGTTCTCAGCAGATACATGTGAAAGCAGTGTCAATGTCATTGTCTTTTTTTTCAAATGATATTCGTATCTATATCTAATTCATATGAATACAAGTATAGCCCAAAAACCAACGCCCCCAATAACCGCCGCTTCACATAACCAACAATTACAGATAAAGGAAATTCCCGCAAGTTTCATTGATGCCCCAGAGATCCGATGATCAGGAGAGGGGCAGCAGAGTTGTTTTGAATTTGGTGGGCAGTGGCATAGTGCAAATTCTTGCCACAAAAGGGGTCTGCCTCTGACTCATTCCTGCAATCTTTGCTCTTGTTTACACTTACTATGTATCTTTGACTTTGTGTTTTTTCATTATTTCCAACTTCCTGTGTTCTGCAATCATGCCAAAATGCACCAGTGATAGTTCTCAGAGGGAGCAGCTTGATGTAATGTGAAAAGGCATAGTAAGAGTGGTGATGGACCAGCAAATATTGGAGCAGACTTGAACTTGCCACCCTACACCACCTCTACCATCCCCAACACAGGGAAAGAATTATCGATTTATGCTTTACATTGTTTATTTAATGCTTATTATGCTTGCTTTATGTGTCTGCTTCTTTTCTTGCTTGACAGTGTGCTCGACAAATATATTATATTTATCAAGGGTAGATGGGAGTTTTTGAAAGGTGGCTGGTCCATAACCCCCTGAATTTGTTATATTCTTATGGGATCAATTGCTTTGACAACCGTTTATTCACTAACCAACGACTTTTCCCGGTCCCTATGAGTCGGCTATCAGGGTACACAAACACATATACAAAAGAAAAACATACACACACTCACAATCTGATTCAGGCTCATACAAAGGAGTGAACTCGGAAACCTCTTCAGGGAACAGGAAAGGTTGTCTTCGTGAAAAGCAGCATGTCAGTGTGTGATGTATGGCAGCGCTGCCAGGGTGGTGGCAGTGTTGTCAAAACATAGGCCTAGAGTTGCTTGAAACAATTCATAAAAATCAGGCTACTTGTACTGCATGTAATGCCTCGAGGTACTGGTAACATTTCATCCCAAACATATCTGTGATTGATGTCCAGCAAGCTAAAGGATAAAAAAAATGAGGCATAGATTTCCAATTGTTTTACTTGAACAGTTATATAAATGACCTTGTACTTATATGTTTGGTTACACAGACAAGTAACAGTACTGTACTATTACACCTTTGGCAAAAGCAAGTCCCATTATTTTCCACAATTAGATGAAAATATCAAATGTAATGTACAAATGACCCAAAAATGCTATCTAAACAATCATATTGCTACTATAATTTCCCTTCAAGTTAACATTAACATCTGGGCCCTTTAAAAAAAAAAAAAATGAAAAAATTACATATTCAGTGCACATTTACAAGATGAGACCTAAAAGTAGGCATTCTTCATATACTGTACACATTACCAGCATACATGCCATGAAAATTTACAGCAGACCCTGCCTCTTAAGATCATCAAAGGTTTTTCGATTAACAACATTCCCTTGAGAATCTTCATATTCTTCTTCCTGTTCTGACTGCCATCTCTCAGATGTCTTTTGAACTTTAAGTTTCTCCCATAATTTGAGAGCATCTTCAATCTGTGTAACATTAGCAAAGTGAGCAGTGTTAGGGATGCCTAAACATCTCATGCCATGAGCATGTCTCCATTCTGCAAAGTGCCTCTGGAATGCCTTAGGACCTTTGTAGGTGAAATTTCCACATATTTCACAGTTGTAACTAATATTAAGACCATGGAGCTTGTATAGCCAATATGGGATAGGTTTACCATCCCAGCCGAGAGGAAGGTTTTTGGGATTATAAGGTACTTCATCGTCGGCCTCATCCTCAGATTCAGATGCAGACGCTTCCTCCTCCTCCTCCTCTTCCCCGTCTCTCCTGGCTTGTTTACGCTGAACATTCTCTTTGGTAGCCATACGTTGTTCACTTAGGGTTTCTGTAAGTCGGTAAACTTGTGCCTCCAACATTGCAAGTTCTCTGATTTTTTCTGTTTCACGTCCCTTTGTTACTTTCCCTGGCTTAGACTTTGCAAAGAGGGAGGGGTCAAGTTCTTCCACAGACATACCTTTTGTTTTGAAAAGCCTTTGTGCTCTTTCCTCCAAGGTTCCACCACACTTTAAACCAAGGGCCATAAGAGCTGACTTAAGACGATCCAGACCTAATGACATGAGTTCTTCTGACGATGAGAAAGCAGAAAGATCAAGATGAGCTCCCATCGCTGCAAGTGCACCACCTGTCTCCTTTGGCCAGCCTGGGAATCTAAAGTATTTGCAGCATAATAAAAATCTAATCTTCAGTGAAATGACATCAAGTTTTAGTAAGAAAACGTCACAAATTTAATTTAAATCAGTATAATCTCATTCCAAAATATAGAGCTGATTGGATCAAATGTGTATCTAGTAGTTCTTGTCACACTACCCATTCACTAATTTAATCACGAACATAAGATTTTTTTCTTCTGAATAAAGTTAATTTCTTTAAGTAACAAAAGAATTGGGAATAGCAGACAGAGAAATTGTGAAATCAACCTAAGAAAACTGTTTAAATTTGGGGTCTGTTTTGATGCATTTTAAGGGTGCCCGGGGAGTTGAATCCCCCTAATTTTGATTCAGATTTTTGCTCCCATTTATTAGGCCCCTAAGGAAAATTCAACTTTACTGACAATATTATATGGAGCAAACAGCAAAGTATCAGTGAATTTTGCCATAATTCAGTTCTAATGAATCCCCCTCAGACATTATATTTTTTAAGACCATATCTCCAACTTTATGTACTTATAGAAAACTTTTATTTGTATGTATGATGTATGAAGAACACAGCACTGAAGTAGGGTCAAGCTCCATAAATGAAAAAAAAATTGCAGCTAAAGCTTGCAAAATTTTAACTCATCATAACTTTTGAACCAGTGAAGATAATGAAGAGATTTAAGTGGCACATTGTAACATTATTAGTGCAAATTTAATTGATGCTAGTAAAAGACATCATACAAATTGTTTTGGGGCATACCAGTGCTTGTCCTACTTCAGTTCTGTGTTCCTCATATACAATGATGTTCTTTGCAACTTAAAGTAAATAAAACTTGACTCTTACACACTCCTCTGCCTTCTTTTAATACAAGGTGATACATATTCTTTTACATCACAGTACTCATATTTTTCTAATTATCACTAAACTTTATTTCCCATGTACTTCCATTAGCAAAATTTACTAGAATCAAAACTTATTTCTTGACATGGAGTTATTCAAAACTACAATCCCAACCTTATTCCACCAGCCACATCACCTTGAAGGCTTACAAACAACTAAATTAATAATAAGTGGTCACTAACCTTCCACCATCCCACTGCTCAGTGAAGTCCTTATTTACGCAGTCCAATTCCTCGCCAAGATCCAACAAGGGTTTGACTCTCTCTACATATATATATAAGTAGTCCAGGAGAACATGGAGATATTCTCGATATTGTGTGGTCTTCTTCTCTTTTGGGATCTCAAATAATCGGTCGAAAGTTGTTAGGTATGTGATGTAGTCAATCTTTTCAAGCCCTGTAAATATAATGAGTCAGTACAGTAGACAAACAGTGAGGCGACCCTTTGGGGGAAGGGGGTGTCGGGGTCACTTTTATCCCCCCAATGGACACTTATATATAAGCCTCTCTAGGTCCCTGTAAGTTCAGTTGCCTCTGAAGATGTCTTGAATAAAGACGAAAACTATGGTACTTGTGTAGTTAGTTGACCAAGAGGTAGGACACAGATTGAGCAGATGAAAACAAACCTGATGCGCCAAGCAACGCAAGGCGCATTTGGCGTGGAATTTAACAGAATCATGCTCAATTTAGTGAAATAGTTCGGTAAATTGAGCGAACATAACGGAAAGCTCGATTAAGTGGAAATTTTGATTTAACGAACAGGGGTGGCTGAAATTAATTTATTAAATTGAGAAAATACTGTACCACATCTTATGATCGCTGCATGGAATGTCAAGACCCTTCTGGATACTGGCATAAATGAGCATCCTGAAAGAAGAATCACCCTTGTGGCAAAAGAGCTATCTAGGTAGAACATCGACAAAGCAGCCATTAGTGAGTCGCAGCTCTCAGATGAGGGTCGACTCACAGAACGAGGTTCTGGCTATACCTTCTTTGTGGAAGGGTAAGCCTGCTGTGGAGAGAAACTGCATTGGAGTTGGCTTCGTCATCTGCCAACGCATCCTACATAGGCTAACTGAAATGCCTCTTGGTATTAAAGTGCCTCACGATGCTCAGAAACCCACTGAATCACTCACGTCATGCCTTCTTCATGAGTGCATACGCCCCAACACTGGATGCAGAGAAATGACATTAAGAAGGCCGTTTATGCTGACCTTCACAGAGTGCTAACCTTTATCCCCAGAGAAGATAAGGTTGTGCTCCTAAGTGACTTCAATGCCAGAGTTGGCAGAGACGCTGACATTTGGCAAGAAACTATAGGGAAAACGAAATAGGTGAGTGTAATCCCAACGGCCAACTCATCAGCAAGTGTGCTGAACACAGCCTCACTTTCATCAAAACCTTGTTTAGGCAGACCGACAAGTTGAAGGGTTCTTGGCAACACCAGCGATCCAAACGTTGGCATCTCATTGACTACACCATTGTCAGAGAAAGAGATTGCAGAGATGTCCTCATCACCCAAGCCATGTGTGAATCAGACCAATATGACACAGATCATCAGTTTGTCAGAGCCAAACTCTCCCTTCAGTTCGCCGTACCAAAACGATGAAGTCAACATGCCTCCAGAAGAGGTTTTACCACCAAGAGTCTGAAGGATCCGGTGGTAGCACATGCTTTCAGAGAGCAGTCCGAGGATGGGCTAATAAACAACCCACATCCAAGTGCCAAATGGGGTATGCTCAACACTGTCATGACAAAAACCTGCAGAGAGAACCTCAGCCAGATCGAAAGAATACACCAGGACTGGTTTGATGAAAATTACCTGGAAATCAATGTACTCATTGATGATAAACGTGCTGCTTTAACTGACTGGCAGAAAACCATCAGTCTCGGATCAAAGCTGATATCTTCCACAAGAAGAAAGCAGCAGCCCAGCACGAACTTCACAATCTAAAGAACGAATGGTTGAAAAATAAAGTGTGTGAAATTAAAAAATTTGCAGAGCATCACAAGATGTAAAAATTTTTCAATTCCATTAAAACATGATGCAGTCCCCCTCTGCTCATTGATGGTAACTCCCTAATTAAAGACGAAAAAGGCATCTGTCAGCACTGGAAAGAGCACTACCATTCGCTGCTTAACCAAAACACCAATGTGGAAGTCCCGACAACTCAGCAGGTTCCTCAGCACCCAGAACTGACCCCACCTCTGTTATCCTCCATCCCTGGATGAGGTAGCTACTGCCATCAAAAAGATTAAAAATAACAAAGCTGCAGGGCCTGATGGAAACTCAGCTGAGGTATATAAAGCAGGTGGACCTCTGCTTACCGTCTGTCTCCACTCCTGGAGAATATATGGGTGGAGGAAATCCCCCAAGCTTTTAAAGATGCCTCCATCATCAATATTTATAAGAACAAGGGAGACCAGTCAGACTGTGGCAACTACATCAGGATCTTGTTGCTGTCCGTAGCTGGCAAGATTATCGCCCAAGTCCTCCTTAACAGACTTCTTCCTGTAGCCATCACATGGCTTCACTAATATGATCTTTGCTGCCTGGCAAATATTGGAAAATTGCAGAGAACAGCGTTGTGACTTGTACATGGCCTTCATCGACCTTACCAAGGAAGCCCTCTGGTGGACCCTCAGTCGTTTTGGCTGCCCACGAAAATTCATCGCCATTGTGAGATATATTTGTTAGATTTCGTTTATTTCCAATACGTTACATGTCTGAATAAAAAGTGCACCATCTGGCAATTGGTGTCATCGGGCAACATTGATTGATTGATTGTGGTAATTACATTCCTGGCAATGCAACAGCTTATGTCATCAGCCGCCAAAATAAACTAAAAGCTTAGAAGGCTAAAAAACAATAATGCGAAGTAAAGAAAAAAGAAAAGAACGAAGAGACACAAAATACAGATAATAAATACCATAAAACTTTCATAAAAATATTTAAATGTTAACAGATAAACTCCAAGCTTGTGTAGAAGGCCAGCTTCCTCCACGAAGAAGGGAACGTCCCTTACCATGCTACCCACTCCTTCCCCTTGCACCAAAGAGAGACGGTAAGACCCGTCTCCTCCCCGGTGCTTACGACCTGAAAAAAAAAGAAGAAAAATAAGATCCTTACCTTTGATATTGAGGTATTTGTTGTAGCACTCGTGAAGATCAAGGTATTTACCATAGCCTTCCTCATCAGTGAAGTCCACCATCACCAGGTTCTCATCATTAGCTTCCCTCTGCTTGTTTATTTCTTCAAACTCCACACTCATGGGCACACTTATCTTCACAATAACAACCACATTAGTCTTTTAAACACACAATTATTCAGTTTTCATTGTTTATATCAACTACATTCCAAACAAAATACATTGGGATCACTGCAAACTTTAAACTAAACTCAATCCATATATCCTCAACTCACTGCTTAAATGCTTCTGTCTGTTCACTTTGATGAGAAACTTGACTCATCACTGTAACCATCATTTCCATTCCTTAAAACTTTCATGAACAAACATCTCTCAAATGTAAGTTGTCTCCTGTTATTCCTCTGAAATATGCTTAGGACACATTCCTTGTCACTGCTACTGACTAAATCTATCCCTTTGTGTATAAGGTTTACCTCTCCCTTCTAGCATAAATTATTGTATGCTTATGCCCCAATCCATTACCTATGTAGATCAGCTGTATTCTCCTGCCATCTAGCATAATTAATTTTCTCATTTATTATGTTCCATTTGTTCTGCCTGTGTCAACTTATATCTGTCCATGCACATTACAGGACATACTTCAAAATGAAACCAACACTGCACTACAAAATTTGACCTTAAAAATGAGGTAACTTGAACAGTATAAGAGATCTGGATATTGTTTTTACAAAGCCCTGTGTGTTTACTCCTGATTTTGGCCATACCAGTATTAACAAGGAAGGAAAACAAACTTAGTACAGTACAGTACTGTAGAGTATATTGCATACAGGTACTCCTCGATTTACGACCTACTCGACATACGACCACCCGGACATACGACCGCCGCAGTCGTACCAAAAAATTTTCAAATTCCGTATGTATTTTCGAGTACCGAAACGTTTCTGTCCCGTACGAGAGCATGGCGTGGGCTGGGCCGCCTCGTGGTGTACAGCGTCCATGCCGTAGCGTGCTCAGTTGGTGTTTGGCCATTGTAGTTGTCGGTAGTGATCGCGCTGTGTACTGACAATATTTTTGTTTCTAATTCCATTTAAAATGATTGGCAAGTGTAAAAGTGAGAGTTCTGCTAGTGCTCAGAAGAAAAAGAGACAATTACTTTTGAGATGAAAATGAAAATAATAATGCAATATGAAAATGGAAAAACAGTAGCAACCATTTCACGCGACCTAGGTTTCTCCCACTTGACGATATCAACAATTTTGAAGGACAAGGAACGAATTAGAGAGGTAGTGACAGGATCTGCACCTATAAAGGGAATGATAATAATAAAAAAAAGACAAGGTATTCATGAGATGGAAAAATTACTTGTAGTGTGGATGGAAGATCAGATGCAGAAGAGTGTACCCTTAAGCCTTCTAACCATACAGGCTAAGGCAAGAAGCCTTTTCAAAAGCCTGAAAGAGCAGGCAGGAGATGAGTGCGACACAAAACTTCACAGCAAGTCATGGGTGGTTCCAAAGGTTTGAGAACCGTTACAGTTTGCACAGTGTAAAGGTGAGTGGAGAAGCAGCAAGTGCTGATGTGGGTGCTGCTGAAGCTTTTAAGGAGGAGCTAGATCGTGTCATCATGGAGGGAAATTATTTCCCTGAGCAAATATTTAATGTGGATGAAACTGGCTTATTCTGGAAGCGCATGCCAGAACGGACATACATCCACAAAGAGGCGAAAACCATGCTGGGATTCAAGGCATTCAAGGACCGAATCACACTTCTGTTGGGGGGAATGTAGCTGGTTCCAAGGTAAAACCCTTCATGATATATCATTCAGAGAACCCCAGGGCTTTTAAAAATGTCAGCAAGCACACACTGCCAGTGTTTTATCGCAGTAATAAGAAAGCATGGATGACTCTAGCACTGTTTGAGGATTGGTTCCTGAGTTGTTACATTCCATGAGCCAAGGAGTATTGTCTGCAACAAGGGGTTGCATTCAAGATTTTATTAATTTTAGATAATGCTCTGGGACACCCACCACACCTGGACAACCTGCACCCTGATGTTAAGGTAGTCTACATTCCACCTAACACTACCTCTATCATCCAACCTATGGATCAAGGTGCTACTGAAGGTGAGAAAACGCTCAGAGAGTTTTGGAAGGACTACAACATTTTGAAATGTATAAAGAACATAGCTGCAGCATGGGATGAGGTTACAGGTCAGTGCAAGAATGGAATATGGAAGAAGGTCCTGAAAAGATATGTGAACAGTTTCAAAGGATTTAATGAAGATGAAGCAATTTCTAAGATTAGTAACAAGATAGGGTAAACAGCTGGAGTTAGAAACTGATACTGAAGATGTTGAGCAGTTGGTTGAAAGTGTAGCAGAAGAGCTAAGTAACGAGGATCTTATTCAACTGGATGCACAAAAAATTGGAGAGGAAGAAGAGAGACAAAATGTAGAAGAAGAACCTGCACCCCCCCAAAAATTTTCAGTGAAACAAATGGCAGAGGCATTTGCTACTATTAATAAGGGGATGCAAATGTTTGACAAAATGGATCAAAATGTTGAGTTTTGCAAAAGTTGACAGAATGATCCAAGATGCAGTTGCTTGCTGCAGGGAGATTTGCAGTTTTAATTGGACATATATTTTAAGAAGTCCCCCACTGCTGTTTCCTCACACCCCACCAGTGCTGCTTCTTCACTCCCTAAAGATGATCCAATACCTTCAACAAGCAAGTATGTTAGCCTATCTGAAGAAAGCGAAATTGATGACCCACCCAGCCCTGTCTCCTCCTCTGCTTCATCCAATTAATGTAGTCTCCATGTTTAATTAAAAAATTATTGAGGACCCGTGTGCATTCAGCTGACTACATTAAAGGTAGGTGCACAGTAACACTTTATTAATTTTTTATTATTGATTACTTTTACTGTACAGTACAGTATTTCATTTTAGATTTTCTATGTATTATTTTCGCATTTTCGACTTACGGCCAATTCGACTTACTTCCTGGTTGTCGGTCCCTAACCCCGTCGTAAGTTGGGGACTGACTGTACTGCTTCCACTAAAGATACTGATCACTTACCTCATTTGGATGTTTTTTGTGAAATTCTTTAATTTGTTTCAACCGATTGTAAAATTCTGCCAACTCATTGGGCCCAGACAATGCTGCAACCTCCTCCTTCCTCAAGCCATCCTTGTCTTCATATAGGTCAGCCAGATGCTGTGAGGCTTCAACATATCGGTCAAGTAAGATACGATGGCGGTGGTCAGAATTGATTACCTCACGATTCTGAAATTAGTAACAGGAATTACAAGTCGTAAAAATTAGGGTGTAAAGAATTCTTTACAATTCAGCACTGTACAGTATTTTCATCCATCTGAACATTCTACTCCCTCTTCCAAAAATTATTGGAAAAAAGGGAAGATGCATCAGCTAGACTACCTGGCCAGATAGCATCCCCTACCACATTTTACAGCATACAGCAAACACTCGATAACTTGGCGCAGATGGGGCTCTGACCTTGCCGAGTTATCCCAAATCCTGACTTATCAACCCATCGACCCATATATGTGTACAAGATACATGTAATTACTAAATATAAAAAAGAAACACTTACAAGCACTGCAGGTGAAGAATGAAGCATCATAGTACATGACACAAATGTATGGTAGGTGACACAGATGTATAATAGGTGACACAGAGGCATGGTAGGTGATGCAGGTGGCCAGATATTCCGAGATTTCCCAGATAATTTTATATATCTCGGCATTTCCCGAGTTATACTAATACATTCCGAAACCACATCCATGCCGAGTTATATGAAATTATGAGTAATCGAGGGTTTACTGTATAAGATGCACTTTTTTCTGAAAAATGCCTAAAAAAATTACTCCACTTCTCAAATATGAGCTTGTGGTTTCCATAGGCTAATGAATCCCCTAGCTGCAGTCTCCAGTACGATAAGTTCTACCTAACCCAACTCCAGGATGTAAAAATATGATTGTTTTCTTATTCATATTACTGTGTTATGACTTTTAATTTATAACTACTGATGTTGACCTGGGATGACATCCAACTCTTCAGGGTAAAGCAGTAACTTTTTTTGAACTCTTACAAGAATTACTATGTACAGTATCTATTAATGACATACCTGAAACATTTATCTTACCATTTTTATTAGGATACATCCTTTAGCTTTATGTGTCTGCCCTTTGGACAATTATTCCTTTTACCTGTAGTATTGTACGTGTATATGTGTGTGTGTGTGTGTGTGTGTAGACACAGTTTAAAGCCGCGGTCGGGTGCCAGTGATCTCGGCCCATTTAGGTAATCTCGGCCCACACAACAATGATATTAACAGTCAGGGTTTGGTAAATTTATAGTAGTTCACACAACTGTTAGAAAGTCAAAACTATGTTTTTCTAGTGTTTTTGTGTGTTTTGATTGGTTTTGACCTTGATTTCCGTCGGAAATTGCCTGTTTAGTTATCGCCCCCTTCTACCCCCAGGGGATCCTGTTGGGAACCGGGGTTTTGGGTGGGGGAGAGAAACAGGCATTTTCCGACAAAAATCATGGGCAAGTAAACACAAAACACCTAAAAACACTAGAAAAACATCAACCTAACCTTCTTTTGGATGACCTAACCTGACCTAGCCTGACCTGACCTAACCTAAGCTAAGCTAACCTGACCTAACCTAACTCTCATGGTGTTTTTACATAACCAGACTCGCACCATATTTGGGAATCACTGTTATTTCTTACCTTATTCCGAATTAGAATCCGCATAACGATTTATGAAGGGTATATTAATAGAATGAAATAGAGAAAGATTTGGCATGCACTATCTCCATTATTATACGTTTCCGACGGTAATGTAATATAAGAAAATTACTGTATCTAAGAATTAAACGTCTTTTTCGAATATGATAATAGATTTTGGGTAGGAATGTTGTGTGAACTACTAAAAATACCCAGGATATAAATATGAGGCTATTTTTTCCAGTTATAAGGAAGGATAATCTATTTTTTATAGAAGTCCCTTAATATACTATTATTGCATTTTCTGTGTTGCCATTCGTTACAGAAATCACACTTTACATGGCACTTCTTGTCGGTTTTGAACTTCCGATTTACAAAATTCTAAGTTTAACTGTTTTAATATCGGGCTGACACCTCACTTCTACCCAGTGCTGGAGCACCTTAGCTTTCGTCTTTATTCAAGACATCTTCAGAGGCAACTGGATTACATGGACAGAGAGAGGCTTAAATATACAGGTTGACCTTATTAAACAAGTCATAATGATGTCGTCCACTAATGCCCACACCAACACACACGCTAAGTCGGCCACACTTACAGAGCTCTTTTTGTGTAGACATTCCTTGACCATCGCAGCCATAAGTCTTTCTCTTTCTTCATGATACCGCCTTTGCTGTTCAAGTATGGTATCCATGATTTTGTGCTACGCCTTCACTCGTTTATCAGTCGTCAATAAACATGCGGACACACGGACAGTGTTGTTGTCCAACAGAACAGCGATGTAAACAAACACATGAAACGTTTGGGATGGTTCTTTTCCTTAAATTAATATACATATTATATAACTATCATATAATTATAAAAATTACATAATTGTTAATTGAATTTAAAACTTAAACAACCGACAACATCTTCATTAAAATATTAACGAAGTTGTACCGTAGATATCGCTCCTTCCATACCAAATAATATCATCGAATTCACTGATAAGCATATATATATATATATATATATATATATATATATATATATATATATATATATATATATATATATATATATATATATATATATTATATTTAGTATGGTCTGTAAAGCCAGCAGCCGAATCCTCAGATCCCGAACCCACTGATTACGAAATATATCATATTTCAGTTCCTATGTAGAAATTAACTATTAATAGCTTTTTTAGGCAATCCCTAGCTGAATAGACTAGCTGTTAATAGTTTTTAACCAATACTGTCTTGACCATTCGTAATCAAGGGCTTGATTTATATACAAGAGTGAACTTGATGGTAAGCTTACTGATTATAGGAGATACCTATTTTGGGGACAATCTCTGATTGACTTGCTATTCATAATTTTAGACTAACATTGTGTATGTATGTAAAGATTCAATGTGAACTAGATCATCAGTTGTACTGAAGAGATCTAGTATAATATATCTTGCTGTACAAAAAGGTTCGGGAACGTCAGCCAGTGTGGGAGGTGGTGCCATCTGTGGGCTGGTGGCGCGGGGAGCAGTGTGGGAGGTGGTGCCATCTGTGGGCTGGTGGCGCGGGGAGCAGTGACAGACGAAAACAATCGTCTGCAGTGAGAGTTGTGATGAGTGGGTTGTGGTGTGTCGTGTGCATTCTTCTTGACTGATATTTCGAGTGGTAATGAATTAAAAACCCAAGGGATTCTATTTTATTGTATGTGAATATCAAGAAGACCCAGTGGGAGCAAACGGGGTAAGTAAAATGGGGTGATATTGAGCTGAATTGTGTAAATACAACATAAACGAGAATCTCGCTTGCCAGCAGCTTGAATCTGGCAGAGTATTTGTGGGAGAGGGAGATATTGTTTTAGAATTTAGTGTCTCATATTCAACATAATTATATATATACATATATTTTTTTTAATATTGTATGACATGGTATGTGATAATGAATCTATTTGTGGTGCTAGTACGACTACTCAAACCTACTATGGAAATAGGATTAGTATACGTAACTTGGGAAGTGATCTTGAAGGCGAGTTTCTTACAGGGTGAGGTAGCCAAACAATTCTCTGGCTTAGTTCATCTTGGGGTGCTTAACACGGTTGCATAGGGTTATGTCAGGAGAAAAATGGAAGGCCTCTTGTATATTTTATGAGGCCTGTAATAAACCAGGAAATCATGTATATAAAACCAACGAGATTAGTAGAAATTTACAAGTGAAATACCTGTGTAAAGGATTTGAGTATATTCATTTCTTTGTGTAGACTTATTGTACCTGACCTGCCTGATCTGATATTTTTTTACCCAGTGGATATTTGTCCGGTTGTCGGTTAGATATTCTTTTTTATAGACTAACACCAGAAGGAGTTGATATAATTGGATGAAGCTTTGTGGAAATGTTAATTAAAATCTATTTAATAGATAAATGGAAACGAGAATCCACTCTGTCGGTAGGTATGTTTTAGAAGGTTTTTCTGGTGGTAAGTTAGGTAGGTTACTTTAGATTAGGTTGGTGAGGTCAAGTTAAAATAAGTTCCTTCTGGTGCTCGTTTAAAAAAAAGCCTACTTAACCAACAATCATACATACTGTATAGCCACATCCATATATTTGTGCGTTTGGGGGGAAAATTATATATTTACTTGTAACAACCTCCCATTTGTCATCACTAGTGGGAAGGTAATTATTGATTTTTTTTTTTAGAAAGTGTCGTGAGATTTTTGTGTGTTCTAGCCTCTAGGTAATTTTGATGAAACAGATTTTTTTTTTTGCAACAGGCCTCTATTGAAAGATGCTTTATTAATGGTTTGAAATTTAATAGATTAATACATACTGTAGAGAAATACGGAAATATGATGTAATTACCATCATAGTTATATGTGACTGCCTTTTATGTGATGAGTTACTAAGACAAACTTTTCTTCTATAACGTTTCCCATACAAATTACCTAAAAATTACCTAACCAAACCTAACTGGTGGGTTCCGCCCCCTGGATCCCTCGGCATATACAAGTCGTTTTCAAGGGAACATTAAAGAAGAAAAGTTTCTTAGAAATGTCTAAGCTACTGATTGCAAAGATATAATTCCTAAGATTCCATGGTTGTGTGAAAGTAAAATGATACCGAACAAATTAAAATAATACTATGTCCTTACAAATTACTATTGTTTAATATACAGTACAATTATTCCTCAGGCACTGTACACATGTGGCAATCTAACAAAAATATAACAGTGTTAGGTCAGTTTGTTTTGGCTGCCATCATTCATGGCTCATGTCCAGTCTCCCTAATTGATCCTGGTTTACAAGGCAGTGATTCTTTTGTTAGACACCATCAGTATATGCACTTTCTTCCTTTCTCTATTACTGGATTAACATACAAGAAACTATAACAAACATAACTGTAAAAACAAAGTCTGTAACAAAAACTAAGTCAATAATGTAGTGTCCATCTTAATCTCCAGCAAATATTTAAGACTTGGAAAAAGTTTGCATTGATTATACAGTACAATACAGTACAGTACAGGTATTGATTGCTATTGTTTTACCATACACATACTAGGGGCAAAATAGCCACTTTTAGAATTGAAAAACGCTGCTTATGAAAATTTACTGAAGGAATTGAACAGTCATGTAGCCTACATGAATATAAATAGAATGATGATTGAGCAACATGGGTTTTACTTAGGGTTGTGAAAGAAGGTACAATTCATAGTCTACACAAGATACAATACTGTAGAAACATTACAACAGCTGGTAAAGAAGGGTAATGGATGTTAAGTTTCCACCACTAGAGTAAAAGTTTGCCTGAACAAAAAATTTAGTGGCTATACAGTACAGTTAACCCTCACTTTACGCGGTCCCACATTCCGCGTTTCCACGTTTACGCGGTGCCCTGCCGGAACCCAGGATGCTCACATTCCGCGGTGCGTGTACCCCTTTACGCGGAGAGCGGCTGGCGAGCCGCGCCATTTTTGGATCCAAACCTCCCGCCATCCGCCATGTTGTGGAAGCGGCGCGAACATGGTGCGCACAAGGTCGCCCAGTCATCAAAACATTACCAGTTCTTCACCCGCCACCCACCACAGCCGGCCCAAGTCAGTGATAGTGATAATTATGGTGAGGATATGGACTTATATGGATTTTGGGTAGTTTGACCAAGAGGCCCTGCAAGCCTCTGTGGTGGATAGTGATACAATTGATACAAGTGACACAGGTGAGGGCCAATAATCTGCCCTCTGCCTCGGAACCAACTGCCCATCCCCGTGTGCCCAGCCATTTTTTCTACTAATGTAAGTGTTAAAAACCTAATATTATTGATATTTCTCTTAATTATTAATTGTGTGTGCATACCATCATAAAGTTAAGATAATATTTTTACTGCAACATAGTTGTGTGTCGTCAAAAAGTGGAGTTTGGGGATTGGCCCGGACTCCATTTCAATTAATCCCATATGTTATGTTATTCACTTTACGCGTTTCTCACTTTACGCGGGACCCTCCGGGTTACATTAACCACGTAAAGTGAGGGTTAACTGTACACAGAAAAGATATACTGTAACCCTTGAATGTCTTTGGCTTGCCTTTCCCACTTTCTTGTGTAAAAGAGGTAGTAGTATATGTGGTACCATAATATTTGTACCATACATCATTATATCTTCACTTGCATGTACAGGTATTGGTATACTGTACTGTACTATACAGTACTTGTACAGCACAGTGTACACCCATATACCTTCATTTCCATGTACCTACAGTATACAGGTATTGGTATATAATAACTACTTTTACTGTACACCTTTATACTATAATATATTATACTATACAATACTATACAGTATTATCTGTTGAAGTGACTCAAAATTTGTTTAGCTATGCCTGTTCTGTATCTCAAAAATTTCAGTGGGATATTGAGAGTTCAATATACTGTAAAATGATTTTCAGCTAATAAATAATACTTACAGTAATGTAATGGATTTAGTAGGACACTATTAAAGCTTTCCATAACATTGAAGGGGAGTTCAAATGATTTTGAAGTGATTATATGAGTGATATCGCACTTACTGTAGTAAACTCAATACTGTACGGTCAAGTAAAGATATTGTACTAATGAGACATTTAGAACTTGGTGGTACAGTACTGGATCCATCCAGGTTTCCTCCTGTACTAACACAGGATAGACCAACCGGCCGAACTGCTAGTAACCTGATAAACACTTCGGTTGAAGGAAAAAAATTCTTTGAAAGGCATTGTAAGTGGCCTGACAATTTTAATTTTTATTTATCACGTGGTGACATGATAAATATATAACAAAAATGTCAGGCCAATTACAATGCACTTAAAGACAATTTTCTTCTCCAGCAGAAGATTTTACTTGTACTATACTGTAATTTTCCATATTTTTAAACATAAGGGTACAATGGGAATACTGTACGTATAATACAGAACCTGTACAGCACTGAGAACTTACAGCATGTTACCACCAAATACAGTACAGGAGGTCCTCGTTATAAGAGTATTCACTCTCCGCAGTTTCGCAGTTAAGTGGTCAACTTTTTGTGACCATCCATGTAAAAAGTCCCTGCATTTAAGTGGATTCCATTCAAAAACTCTGAAAACTCTGGATAAAATCCATGGATTTTTAGCTGAAACATTCAAAATTTCATCCTCTTCCTGGCATGCATGCACACGTGTCCCCGCGCCAGTCTCCCACTTTGTTTTGTCTAGACCAGTGTTGTGTTGTGTTGACAATTTATTTCTTATAACCTCTTCTGAGAACACAATATGAGTCAGCACTGTGTCAAACAACCTGTTCGCATC